CCGGCAGGTACACGCTGATCGAGAAATGGCGGGACACGGAGAGGCACCTGGCACCGCACGAAAACCCCATCGTGTCGCTGAACAAGTGGGGGCACTACGCGAGCGACGTGCAGCTGATCCTGCGCCGCACCGGGCCCTCTCTGAGCGAGAGGCCGACTTCGGACAGCGTGGCTCGCATCCCAGAGAGGACTCTGTACCGGCAAAGCTTACCTCCCCTGGCCAAGCTGAGGCCTCCCAGCGACAAATCCATGAAGAGGAGGGAGCCGAAAAGGAAATCCCTCACCTTCACCGGGGGGGCCAAAGGGCTAATGGACATCTTTGGGAAAAGCAAGGAATCCGAGTTCAAGCAAAAGGTGCTCAACAACTGTAAAACAACAGCGGATGAGTTGAAGAAATTGATCCACCTCCAGACAGAGAAACTTCAGTGCATTGAAAAACAGCTGGAGTCCAACGAAGCCGAGATCCGCTACTGGGAACAAAAGTATAACTCCAGCCTGGAAGAAGAAATCCTCAAGCTAGAGCAGAAGATCAAAAGGAACGAAGTGGAGATCGAAGAGGAAGAGTTCTGGGAAAACGAGCTGCAGATTGAACAGGAGAACGAAAAACAGCTGAAGGAGCAGCTGCAGGAGATGAGGCAGAGGATCCTGGAGTGTGAGAGCAAGCTGAAGGACTACATGTCTCAGATCCACAACATGGAAAGCGGCCTTGAAGCAGAGAAGTTGCAGCGGGAAGTTCAAGAGTCCCAAGTGAATGAAGAAGAGGTCAAGGAAAAGATCGAGAAGGTGAAGGGTGAAATTGATATTCAGGGCCAGCAGAGTCTGAGATTGGAAAATGGCATTAAAGCTGTAGAAAGGTCTTTGGGCCAAGCTACCAAACGGTTACAGGTAAGAATGTCCTTTTTATCCATAGCAACGAAAAGTCAAAGACCTGACTGTAACAAATTTCTCTTACATAGATTTGGAGCCCCTGAAAGAAAACAAGAGAAAGTTTCCACAGTGAATTTGGATAAAAGGAAGAAAGCGTTGCTTTCATTTTCAAATTGCATTTCAGATTTTTTTTGAAGAGCAGACAATTTTCATTTCAGCTGTGTGTATTTTACTCATTCAAACCATCTGAAAAGAAAAACAGTAGTTAGTTCTTTGTCTCAAGATAAACCAGCAGACCTTTTGGTGGATGTGTTCCTGGCCATTCAAATGGAAGGCCTGGGTGGCCTGCAGGGTTAGCGCCGAGTGCCACACCACCTTTCACTTACTCACATGCCGGCTCAGTTTCTTTCCCATCGGTTACAGCTTTGGTTTGCTACCGTTCCCTGACTGCCTGGTGACCTCTGAGGAATCACTTGAAGCGTATGTTCACCATGCAGTGGTCCATGACAGAGAAACACCAGAGCTAATATCAGCCAAACTAGCTGAGGGCAGTGTGGCTGCACCCACGGCAATGCACCTGTCCACCTCGCCCTGCTGAGAGGGAGTGCTCGCTGGCCCCAGTGAGGTGCTGCTGTGCTAGTGGGGTCTGGGCTTTTTTATACCTCAGACAAATAATATCTCCTGCATGAACAATAGGACATTTAGGGCTAGCGGGGGATTGTTGTACTGCTGGGTGCTAAACGGGCGCATAGTGCTCTCAGCCCAATACCTTTAAAAGTATTAATCTTCAAACCCCTGTTGATTGGGGTTAGATATCTTGAGGATTTAGGTCCTAGATCTTGGCAGCTGAGTGCTTCATATTGTTAAATTTCAGGGAAATTTGCACCATCATAGCCTTGTCTGAGGCTAAACTTCTGACTCTTGCTAGGTTTGTCTGCCAGCAAAATAGGTGAATTAAAAATAACAGTCCAAAAGCAGCACCTGGATAGATGGATGTATAGCTAAAATAACTGTTAGCTTACAGGGCTTTTGGTTTAAAGAATAGCATCTCGCTTTTCCTGTCTGACTTGCTGGTGTTCAGGATTTTATTTTCTTTACACTTCAGGCGTTTGTGGCACATGTGTCAAAAGAGAATCCAGTCTCTGGTTCCTTGCTAAAGTTAATGATATCGCTTGGAACTTGATAGAGCATGAAAGAATAAATATAAATGGAAATCCAGCTCCTAGCTGGATGAGGTGAAGGAAAGATTGTGGCTCCTGGGATTTTAATGTGCCACGTAAGATAGGACTGAGGCACCACACATCAGTTTGAGTTGTGATTCTTGCCGTATTCCTGGGATTCACAGTTACTGTGTTCCAGTGCTGCAGTTTCAGTAAGGTGATTCTGCTGTGAATATGTAAAGGGATTTTGTGTCCTTACTCCTGAGCACCTAGAACCATGTCAGTATAAGCTGTTTTTACTAAATCAGAAGGGAAAAAAATGTAATCTTTTTATCCAAAGCAAAATGGTTGAAAACTGTAAGCAGTTTTGGCTGTATTTATCTATCCTAAGTTTCCAGACACACTATGCTTAAGGATTTGCACTAACAGAAAGCATCAAGTCCTCTTTATATATTTTACCTAACCTCGGTAACACTCAATGAGGCTATGATTGAGTTCAGAATCTTTCCCGCTTTTTCGTAGGCTAAGGTTTCACTTTCTCAGGAAAGTTCCTGTTAAATTCAGATCTTCCAAGCTTGTTCTAAACCTAAAGGTGCACTAATCTGGAAGTCCAGGAGAAAATAAACTCTGCTCTGTATTATACAGTTTTGCGGGGAGGAAATAGAGAAGTATTTTCTTGCATGCTGAAAGTTAAATATTCATAGAACTGCTGATTTGAAACTAGAAAAGTTGAGCATGGGTGTTTTTATAGACCTTTCAGTAAGGAAGGAAAGAAAATTTTGGTTCACTAGATTTCGAGTGATAAGAACGGGAAGGCGGCATTTTTTAGTAGCATGTGAGAAATTTCTGGTAATTTGTCCTACCCCTTCTCCTTCATTCCTTTTCTCGAGCCGCCTCAGTAACATTACTTTCCAACAATATGAGGCTGTGTTCAGTTAAGGATCAGATGCAGCACTCTGCTCTCCCTGTTTCTAGAGAAAGATTTTAAATGGAAAAAAAAAACCAAACCAAAATCCCACCCTTTTTCAGTTAAAAGATCTCACTAAAGTTTCACAATTAGATACTAAATTTAAAGAGCTTAAACCAGTAGGATTTGGGGTGATACTTAACATTTTTACCTTATTTCCTCCGAAAGTTGAAAAATGTCAAGAACCAAGTTATTTATGATGTTAGTTCTGCCAACCTGCGTATTTCAGTCATTCAGGTTTTTTAAAAAACCTGACTTCCCTTCAGTAGCAACTTTGTTACAATCTCATAAAACATGGAGCTGTAGAATTAACATTGTAGTAAGTAAAGACAGTTGAGAATTTCCTGTGTCCCAGGTGCCCAGTTGTAGAGTCTAATAGGCCTAAAACAAATTGAAGAGTTTTTCTGTAGAGTTGTCTTAAAATTTGGAGGTGGCCTGGTTTCCATGTCTCAGTCCGGTTTCTCCGAAGGCTCGTAGCCCATGAATGGAAACACAAGTCTAGCACGGGAAGCTGAGCCCAACCACATGATACGCGTTGACTGAACAGGTCACACACACACAGGAGTGGCAAAGCAATTGGCATTTAAAAGGTCCTAATTTAGACATCAGATCAGTTGTGTTAATTTTCTTACTAACTGTTGAATTCAGCCTCAGCTGTGACCTTACTGCAAGTTTAAAATGAATAAGGGCTGTGCTGTTGGGGCGTGTTCCTAGAACAGATCCACAAAACTATTCTCCCCCAATCCTTGTGTGAGTTCATGTATAATTCTGCTTACACAAGATAATTAGGGAAAAGAAGGTTGACCCAACCTCCATCTCTTGCCGAAATGAAGACGTGGCAGTATGCACCGCGTGGAATTGCCCACAGACTGGGCTGGCATGGTACCTGTGCAGCTAGCTCATCCCCTCTGTGGTCAAATAGGTGAAGCCCATCCTGGCTGTGGAAGAGTGCTGCATGCAGCTGCCTGCTAACGAAGCTGAATCAGGGCAGGGAGGGGAATAATTGTAGTCTAAGACTGTCGTAATCTATCGGAGCTGTAGGTTTTGTATATCATGCTAGAATTACAGAGCATTGAGGAAGACCCTAAATGATCATCTCCTGCGCTTGTGAAGGGGTGGTGAACCAGCCAGGATTTGGCCTCATAGTACAAAACACCATACGCGTGCAGAGAGTTCTGTCCATAAAAATTTACACTCTAAATAGAAAACGCAAAGAGCAAGAAGAGAAGGGAGTTATTCTCCTTTTAGGAACAGAAGAACTAAATGAGCTGTCCAAGTCATGCTGGACACTTCTGGCAAAGCTAAGATTTGGTGCCAGACTGATGCTCAGCTGATGTATTTTTTCAGAGTGCTCACTATTACCTTTATTTGCTCACATCTGTTGTGCCAAAATTTTTCTCAGGTAATATGAGAAACATCTGCTCGTCATCCAAGAAGCAAAATAAACAAACCAGTAGTAACCCCTAATAAGTAATGGCGAGTGTTGATTCGCTTTCTAAATTATGAGAGTAAAATACCTTTCAACTCTTATGTTTACACTTGAATTTAAAAATCGAAGGCTTTCCCATCAAAAGGAGACGCGTTAGTTGCCCACTTGCAAATAGAGTCTCGAAAGGCTGCTTTGTGCTCGCTGCTGCTCAGCAGATGTTTTCTCTTTCCTCACAGGACAGGGAACAAGAACTGGAGCAACTGACAAAGGAGCTGCGACAGGTCAATCTCCAACAGTTCATCCAGCAAACAGGAACGAAGGTCACGGTGCTGCCAGCAGACCCCGTTGAGGTGGAGGCCCCGCATGTGGAGCTTGAGAGAGGTGCAGTGCTCAGAATGCTTTTGGCGGGCGGGAGAAGGGGATGGCAATGCATTTACCTGCTGCGTTAATGCTAGCACTTGTACATCAAGTGAATGCCCTGTCAGCGAAGAAGTTAGAAAAATATTAAGCAAGCACAGTGTCAAATATTTCTTTTCATTCCAAGGGTTTAGCAAGCTATAAATAAAGCGCAGCATGTCAGTAACGTCTCTCCCACTGTGCCTGGGCATGTGTTTGTCCCATCAGTAACCCATTAGGCCAGTAGCTTTCAAGTGTGGCCACCGTGGCTGCAGGCATGTAAGCTGGCACGCAGCATGACTGCATGTCTGACATTGCTGTTCATCTGGGTTCTTCCTCTTCTGGGGGGATGTGTTGTCAAAGTAGGAAAAGGAATGTGTCTGGATCTCGAGAAATCCCAGACAGCAGCCGCACGGGAATCGGAGCTAATCCAGCTGGGCTGCCAGCCATCCAGAAGTCCTGCACAGATGGCTGTTACGGCGTGTGCAAATTGACTTTGCCCCTAGTGAGATCAGTGCATTCTGCACATGCCCACGTCTGAATTCAGAATTTCCTGGGCAGAAACACGGGAGCACTTTGAATGCGTGTCACAACTGTGGCACAAGCGGAAACTCCTTTGCTGTGGCTCAGCCTCTGCTGTGGCATGCTTTACCCAGTACCCTGCTTGCAAGGGGCCTGTTTCTCTCAGCATTCTCCTTAGCTGGTTCTGTCCATCCTCTCAGAAAACTTTCTAACCAAAAGGCATTGGGAGGGTAGGGAGGTGGGGGGAGAAGAAAAGACAACCAGGCCTTAAATGTCAGCACGTGCATGAAGTTTCTCTTTCAAGTGGGCAGGAAGCTGGAGCTTCGAGTTACGTATAGGTACAGGCTCTTTCTGCACATTGCTGTGTAAATGTATTGCATGTATCCGTGTGCATGTTCCTCGTGGGAGGGTAATTACATTGAGTAGGTATATCTTTCTGCTGTGAAATGAGTAGAAGGTGTGCACCTTGGATCTCATCACTTCCTAGTCAGGCATTTGAATTTTTTGTTGCGTGCGGCATTAGTTTTTCTATAGTGCACTAAGCGCACGCTGCACTAAGCAGGAAGAAGAGAGGTGTTCTACAGGCATCACCCTTGGTGATGACTTTTCTAACTGCCCTTTTTCTTGTGCAGAGCCAACATTTCAGTCCGGGTCACTGAAGCGCCCTGGCTCGTCGAGGCAACTCCCCAGTAACCTTCGGATTCTACAGAATCCCCTGTCATCTGGTTTTAACCCGGAGGGCATTTATGTATGACAGTACATACCTCTTCTGGAGAGGACGTAGCAAGGTACCCTGGACAAGATACACCTTTGTTTTATTCTGCCAATGATGAATGGAAGAAGATTTTTTTTTTTTAATTTTATTTTTTTTGTTAGGCCACCATGTATTTTTTCTTCTTCCTCCAACACACCACTTGGAGCCATACCCTGTGCACTGATGCTAAAGAGACAGAGGAACTGTCTCGATCCGTAATTGGCAAGGATGAACTTGCTCTCAACACAGCTAGAGTGCAAAAGCCTTCATTTGTTTTTGCCACTTTAGAAGTGTTTGGGAAAGTACTGTTCCATATATAGGCGTAAATAAAAGACTGAGGGTGAAGGAAACCATGTATGCAACTTACCTGAGGTTTAATTTATTCCCTTTAATCAATGGACGTGTGAATGTTGACCTTTTATATTTTTGTTTTTAACTTGTGAATAATCACGTATGGCTGTATGTCAGTCTGACAAGGTGACTTTAATTTGCGTGTACAACCATCCATCATTTGATCACCTACAACAACTTGCAATGCAGAGTTCTGTGGAGTGCTGAACCTTTAAAATGGTTTCTCACCACTGACTTTGTTAATTTCTGTTGTGGGTCATAATACGTCATGTTCCATCCATTGCTACCTTTTAAGGCTTGCAAAGTGAGCTTGTGGGATTTACTTGCTGTTGAATTTGCCTTGAATGAAGCACCTAGTGTTCAAGAGATTTATGGAATTTAAACCTTGGTAAAAATATTTCCAGCATATGATTGAGGATGCACTAGTTAGATGATATTTTATTATATAGAATGTATATTTGAAATATTTTGCCACATTGTATATGCCTTTTGAGAAAAGAACAATGTAAGAAGTTGTCTTCATATATCTTACCAAAAGAGAGCAGGAGGCTTTCACTGTGTGTGATTTTGTACTTTATTTTTTCCACTAGCCATTACAGTGTTCTTGTTTTGCAGTAAATCTTGTTGTTGGAGGAGAAAAAAAACACAGAACAAATGAGCATTCTCCTCCAGCCTTCCAAAATTCACTCAAGTTTTGTGGAGGGAAGAAACCTGGCAGAGTCCCATGAAGTCAATAGCAGAGCTTCTACTGACTTGAGTGGGGCCGGGATTTCATTCCGGGACCCTGGTGTTAAATGGCAGACGTTCAGCCCCTTTGAAAGATGTATTGTTGCTCAGCCACTTACAGAATATAAAGCTTACAAACAGGAAATTCACAGGTTTGGTAGTAGTTTTTTACAAAAAAGGCGAAAAGAAAACATTATTGTATCTTGATGTCACTCTAATGCAGTCAAAGCTAAGCAAGGATTAGACAAAATGGCTTCCACGCAGAAAGTAAGACACTACCCAGTAGCGTGTTGGTTACAGGCCTTGAAATTAGATTGCTGAATTCAACACCAAGTTTGTAGAGAAAGTGACTGGCATCAGTGGGACACTTTGTATACGTTAGGAGGCTGGCCTCACGGACGAGTTAAAGAAGGGATGGGCCTTACCTAGTTGCATTTGGATTTCCTGTTCTAACAGCAACTCATACCGTCCTCTCCACCTTTGAGATCCCCTTGACACGAGAGGGGGTCACCGTGCTTTCAGTCAGTGGCAAAATGACAGAACTCCTGATGTCTTTGGTCGGGTCAGGATTTTACCACTGGTAGGAAACTCCAAGCTTTTTACCATAGCAAATACTTAAGAATTCTTAACTCCTAGCATCCTCTTGTGTTGATTTACTGACGTGCAGATAAACGTTAATTGAAGTTTCCTTTTTTTAAAAAGGAGCTTCCTGACAAATGGAAGTTTTATAAGATACAGTAGAAGATGAAGGACTCTTGAGTGTTTAATGCATTTTTTTCCCTTTCCACTTATTAATGGCATCATATATTCTAAAAATGCTGCTGTATTCAGACTAACAGCAACAGATAAGGCTGTGAATATATAAAGGACCTTTCTAAATGGATTCTGAATTTTTACTGTTTAACTTATCAGGTCTTTTTTTTTTTTCCCCCCCCTTGTGAGCAAACTGGAAAATGAGATGTTCCTACCTGAGGAATCTTTGCAGTGCTCACAGATTTTACTGTTAGTTTATCACAGTTCTGTGCTCATGTTTACTGTGCCCGTAACTTTCGTAACTTTTTATTAAAAAAAAAAAAAAAAAGATTGTGTGTGTGTATATATATATATAAAAAGTGTAAAATATACATAGTTTGGGGACAATATCTGTCCAAGGTACTTGAGCATATATGCCTTACATTTTGGGTTCAATTTACAGAAACAAAATGGCCCTCTCCAGTGAATATCTTGCATCTTCAGCACCTCTTGGTGTTAGAGAACTGAGGCACTCAGCACCTTGCAAAGTTTGGCCCAAATTATGCTGCATGGGGGTGGGGAGAAACACAAGGAAAAGCCTGTTGCAGTTTCAGTCTTGTACTGAGATGAAGTATTTTTACGGCAGATCAGCATACTTACCCAGTTAATGTTTTTGTCATACTTTGTGACTGGTCCATCTCCCACAGATGTCAGTTTGAGCTGAACTGGGCTCTTGCTTCATAAAAACTGCTCTCTTTCTCTGCCAGGTTATTCTTTAAGATGGAGGGAGGAGGAAAAGGATTGAAAGGAAGGGGAAGAGCAGCTTTGGAGGGCTTGAGTTATGGCTTTGTAATAGAATCAAGGAAGGAATTTGCCATTTAAGTTAAAAAATAGCATCTGCTGATTGCAGCAGCTGTTTGACAGAGGGGCCAGCCAGGAGCTGGCTCAGGAGCGGCCACTGCATCATCGTTGAGTGGACCCTCCTTGTCAGGGCTTTAGCACATGTCAAGGTGATCTGAAAACCGTTTACAGCTTCAGCCACTGTTGTGGCAAAGGAGAGGCTTTGGTATCCAAACCTGTCATTTGTGAGACAGTGACAAATTCCCCTGCCCCCACCGTGCTCCTCTTGCTTATTGAATTTCACCCAGGTTAAAGTTCTGTAGCATTTTCACCCTCTCTGTAAATAAACCAAAAATAAATGGCATGCCCTTGCATTAAATGTGAATTGAACAATGTATTACAGTTATAAAAATTCCTCACATTATGGCGTTAAGAGTTTTGCTTCTGATCAACTGCAGAACCTCACTCTTTCTTCACAAATGTAGAAAAATTCATTTTCAGAAGTGTTTCAAACCTACTTATGGGGCATTAGCAGAAAGGAAGCTACACATACTGATTTTAACAAGTGCCATATTATTTACTGGCCAGCATGATAAAAATGGGGTTTTTTTGCTTGCGTTAAATAGTTGAATACACAAGCACTATTTTCCAGTGCACAGGGAATTTATATGGAGAACTCCTGTAATTTATTACTAATGGAAATTAACTGTTACCTCTCTCATCCATGAGGGTACAGTTTATTTTTGCCGGTGATGCTATGTTGTTGGGGGGAAAGGCGGGGGGTTGACCGTTTGAAAAGCCGGTAGGTTAAGGCGAAGGTAAACATTCTGAATGCCCGAGCAAGGGAGAAACCCAAGTCCCACTCTGAAAAGTCAGCTAGGAACCTGCCTCCCCTTATCTTTCAGTGGGACTTAGGTTCCCAAGTGCCTGAATTGCTTCTGGAAATGGTATGTTAGCTTTGAGATGACTTGCTTTTCTAAACCCTAGCAAGTTGGAAGGAAGTTCTTGAAGAGGAGAACTACCACTAGCATTAGCAATATGCAAACATACTTTCTTTGTGAGGTAAGAGGGAAAAGATCCTTTAGTGAAATAAAAATCTCCTCTTGGGGCAATAATTGCCTTGTTTTTAGCGTGAAGAGTATTGCATTATTTTAGTGAACTGGGATCATATGAGTTTGAGCAAAAAAACGGATCTTGTAATTTTTAGTGAGTTATCTTGAAGCATATAAATTCCTGATGTGCATTAACTTGAGTGAATTGGGCCTTAATGATCCATGTAAATAACAAAACTGTATTCAGATATTTTTTCCAGAAAATAGTCTCTAATGGTCTGTACTGTATTAAAATAAGTGTCAAAGTATTACTTTTATATTACACCTTTTTTTTTTTTTTAGAACATTGAAACATGCATGTTTATTCCATTTGCTACAGTATTTTAATGTTTTGGATGAAGGCCATCGGTTGTATGGAGACGACAAAACAATCATTCTGTCTATTTATTCAGTATTGCTGCTTAAAGTTTTCAAAATAAAGCTTTCAATGCTAATATAGTGACTGATTGAAAGCTGTTCTAGCTCTCTTCAGATGTTTTTTTTTTATGTTTATAGAAAACTAAATAAGTGAAACTCGGTATATAAACTGTTAATACCAGCAAAGAATTATTGCAATAATATTGTGGGGAGGGTGCAGGGGTAAGTGTGTGTAGTATATACATAAATGTATGCATGCAGTGAATGCGTTTAGGTCTCAAGTAAATGGAGTGCTGAAGAATGTTCAAGTCCTTTGTGGTCTTGCAAGCAGCTTACACACGCGATCAAACACTGGTTAGTGCTTCATACCAGCGTGCAGCGCTTGTGAGGGGCAGAACAAGCAGAGGTGGTCACAAAGGATCAGCTCGGAGCCCTTTGAACCAAGTGGGATTTAAGCACATTCTTGAGTATTCCATAGATGTGTTTCTGAATTGGGCCAAAAGCATGTTCTGATACAAAAATCTTTCAGTTGCAGCAAGGATGCCTTGTTTCAAGCGTAGCTGGTAGTTCTGAGGTGGATCAAGTATGCCTGCTGTATTTGTAAAGGGTATGAAAATGCAGAGAACGCTAACCCTGATGGTCACCCCGTGAAACTACTAACTAGGGGTTCTGACTGGAAGATTTGAGTTGCTGACGCTTTAACCTAGAGAAGCAATGCAAACTAACTGTGAAAACACGAGTGAGGATTCTATTACTGCTCTGCTTCAATGCAAGATGAAAATCTGTATTATATGTAACTATATTTTTTGTCATTTAAAAAGCTTCTATTTTTTATTATTCTCATGAATGGTTGACAAAAGATATTGGATATGCTCCCATACAATAAACTCCCCTCTGAAACTCTGGGTCTTTACAGTTCATGGTTTGCTGGAATTGCAGCGTACATCTCGCGCACATCTCGTGACACAGCTACTGGAACTCTGTGTGTCAAACAACACTGAGCCTGAAAGCAGGCCAAGGTAATGCTCGGTGTGTCTAGAGCTCAAACGCTTTCGGAAATGGCCGTGTGTCGAGCATTAGGACACAATGAACACTCCTAAATGGCAATTTACTTGGAGGCGTGCGACATACAACTGGTTGGTGTGGGGACTCTATGGAAGACAAGAGAGGTCCTCTACCATAAAGTGTGCACATGCTGTATTTTAATCAGATATAGCCCAGGAACTGTAAGAGAATGGAGTAGCTTGTTTTCAACTGAGGAACTGTTACTGAGATTAGTATTAATCCTGAAAAGATACAATTGGTCAGCGACCCAGAGGAAGTGTAACTTAAAGCAGAGGCAGGGGTTTGTTTGGAGATGATCTGGGAGAGGAATTGAATGTACAGAATCTTCACACAACAAACACCAGGCGCAAGATGCTTCAGGGAGCAGGATGAAATTAAGCTTTGAACAAGGAACTGAAGATCCGATTCAGGCTTAGTCCTTGTGCTGAAGACCGGAGGGCCTGTGAAGATCGCTTGAGATCATTTGAGTTAATCAAGGCAGGGAACTTGCCACAGCTGGGGACTTGTGATTTCAGCCATCCAAATGCAGTCCTTAGTCTAATATCCCAACAAATGGCTTTTCCTAAGCCTACTGGAGCCTAATCTCATTAGATGTGAGGAGAAATGAGCTAACAGTAGTAGCACTGTTGACTGGCGATAAGACAAAGAATGTCATGAGCTTCACTGAAACCCTAGCACGTGGCATTCGTATTGGCAGGACCACGCAAGTTGTAGAGGACCTCTGCTCCTGAGAAGGTACCCTTTTCTGCTTCTGTGCAAGTCAACTGGCTGGGTTTTGTGGTAAATAAGGTTTCCCAGCATGCTCAGTAGAGCCGGGGGTACAGCTAATGGTTCTGATCTTTTGCTTTGCCTTTAAAGAACAAAGTGGTATATTTCTGTGTGACTGCCGCAGCACTAACTAGCTCAGTGTAACTGGACCTCTAATGAGTTGCAAAACCAAGACCAGATCAATGGTCCGTTTCGTTTAGAAGCTGTACTGAGTTCTTCTGCCTGTCACATCTTTGTCACCTAGGTGGTATTTCTCTATAATCCCAATTTTTAATGATTGTTTCAACTAAGTTGTCTAATATCTGAATTAGGGCACAATAAGCAATGGTCCCCATTATTGCCTTTCTTGAAAATGATATATTTTCTACCTTTGGTATTGTAGCTAGCATTAATGAGTGTTTTCTAGGTCAGCCGCTGCTTCATCATTAACTTTCTCCAGAAATATTGGATGTAGACAATCTCACTGGGTCTGTTTTTCCAGGTGGGTATGCAGTGTACTTTTTTTGCATCCTTTGCAGCGAGTTCCTTGTTCTGTGTGCTGTCAGGTCAGCACACTGTGGGGCTGATTTGTTAAATACGAGCTACTGTCCGGTGGGTGACTTGAAAAGAGCCTCTTCAGCATGTGCTAGTGCAACAAGGAACTCGATGCAAACAGAGATGATGATAAACTTAACTGAGCAACCTTACCACTTGTCTGATCAACTCAGACGTTGCCAGTGTCCTCATGCCACTTCTGGTGGGTCTGTCTGTGCCTCCCCCAGGCAAGAAACCTCCTTGCTGTCATATAGACAGCCCTGGTGTTTCCTGTGAATGTGTGTTTGCTCTGCACTGACTCCTGGCTAAGACAGGCGTCCATCCCTTGTGCAAACTGAAGTTTGATTTCTAGAGAGGCTTTTCTGATCTGAATCCCTGGCTATAGAAAGGCTGCAGGGATCTCTGCAATCTCTTGTGGAGTGCGAGAGCGTCATCACAGTATCGTCACACTTTTTGTTTCAGTCATTCTCCTGTGAACGTGTGTTTGCTCTGCACTGACTCCTGGCTAAGACAGGCGTCCATCCCTTGTGCAAACTGAAGTTTGATTTCTAGAGAGGCTTTTCTGATCTGAATCCCTGGCTATAGAAAGGCTGCAGGGATCTCTGCAATCTCTTGTGGAGTGCGAGAGCGTCATCACAGTATCGTCACACTTTTTGTTTCAGTCATCCAGAAGTTGAAGGAGGTGAAATACAGCTACGGCAGAATGGGTCTTCAGCTGCGAGAGCTGGCAGTTGGGTGTTAATCTCCAGTATTTGCTTCGGTCCACACGGGTTAAGTATATGAGACTTTGATTTCCGTTTCCAGTCCTCTGAGTCACAGGTATATCAAGGAGCAGCAGAGCTATGAAAACAGTGTGAAGTCCAATCAGCAGGATGGATTCCTGTACAGTAACACGCTGATGAATGGGATTTGGCCTGCAACAGTTATAAGCTATGTCCTACACCCCTGTCTCATAATGCAATTACTTTATTAATTACCTATGTATTGGCTTGTTCCCCAATAGCATGCTTTCATATATACTGTTCCTGCAAAATAGAGAATGATGCTATTGTTCAAGCTATAGTTTTCCCTTTCTGTGCATCTTTTTTGCATATGCTATTTTGTGCCTATTGTTTCAGCTACGCACTTTGTCTTGCTTTACCCCTCTGCAGAAGGAGGAAGGCAATAAGTAACTGAAAGAATTAGTGAGAAAATGCAATATAAAAGACCTAATATTCAATCCTGGGTCAAGGTGGAGGGAAGAAAAGTTTTCTATGATTTCTTTTTAAAGAGCAAAAGTTTGAAGAAAAATATTCAGAAGAGCTCCAGCTGGGCTTATGAAAGGTCCACTTAAAAAAACCCTTATCCAATGAAACACAAATGAGTGCCAAGAGTTACCTGCATAGGTGTTTTAAAAGGGAGGGCTTCTTGTTAAAACGGGGGGAAGTACACGGAGTAAAACACCTTTAACCTGATTCATATTTGCCCTGAAGTCCCTTTCACTACCTGTGTGATGGAAAGTTAAAGGAAGCATCCAGCTTTAGAGCCAGTGACGTGGTATCACAGGGTACCACCAGTAGCTGTTGCTAAATTAAAATTCAGGCCAGCCTTTAAGTGGGGAATAAGTGGAATTTCTTTGTTGTTGCCTATGAAGCTTCTCAAAAATTAGTACCTGTCACAACCTGCAATAGCATATCCCTTTTATCAGGTGTACCAAACTGCTTTTCATTAAACGTTATGTGCCCAGAAAAGATGATGTGACTTTAGCAGTCACAATCGACCTGAGGTGAACTTTGATCAATGAGGTAGAACTGCCCCTTCTGGAAAGCTGAAGAGAAACCCGAGAACAGCAGCCAACCTTTAACTACGCTTTGTTGCTACAAAGTTGTCTTAACTGTTCTCTTGACCTAGCAAATCTGCATCGTGGTTACCAGGACTATGACCTGGATTCCCCATTGTCATGTAGTTTCTCTCATGTACAAAACGAGCGTGGACAAGACAGCGACACGGCTAAATGAGAAAGGTAACGATGTCCATTAGCTGTACAGCTGGTGTGAAAGGTTACGCTAGATGCAGGGCACCAGATAATCTTGCCCTCTCAACTCTGTCACATCACTGCAATTACAACAAGGTCTACACGAGAGGGCAGCAATACATGCCGGCATGCCTGGAGCAGCATAGCCATGCAGCTAGTTGAAAAGCAGGTTTTATAGGCATATGTAGCACATGACAGAGAATCGTGTAAAATACACAGCATTCCATCTTTAAGTATTATTGTGTCCTTTCTGAAAGAGCATATTTGTAAAGAACCATGTCCTAGTCACAGCGTGTGTGTAGCTGACGCACACATGATGCAGTTTCTGTGAGGAGGGCTCAGGCTTGGTAGCTTTCTGAAACCTGTACAGATGTGGGTCGAAGCATTCCATTTTAGAGATTATCCTGTGCCTGGCGTATTTGCCTGGGACTGGGAAGCTCTTGTTTCGTTTCCCAGCTCTGCCACAGATTTCCTGTGTGTGACCTTGGGCAAGCTACTACAATCCCTCTGGACTGGAGTCCCCCAGCTGTAAGCTTGAGATAATACTGCTTCATCCCCTTTGACTTTGTCTATATATACTGCAAGCCCTGTGGGGAACAGCATCTTGTTTCCTATTTGGCAAATGGTGCTTAGCGCAATGTGGCCCCGATCTTGGCTGTGCCATCTAGGTACTATTGCAGTGAAGCATATTTTTATGTCGTACCGAGAGGATGACAAGAAGTCACTCTGAGTTAGTTTTACGTTACGGTGAGAGCAAGATGCAGACGTGCTGAGGGAAGCTGGAGGTTTCTGAAGGTGAATTCTTGTTTAGTTTAAATGGATTTATTTTTCTAAAGGGGCAAAAAGGAAAGGCAAGTAAAGGAATAAGACTTTCTCATTTCAACTTCTGCTCAACACTATTCTTCTTGCAAAGCGATGCTATTACGAGAGGCAGCCTAAATCCTTTTGCAAGTGCTATGTGGGAGTGTGTTGTACCTAATCGATAGAAACGATTGACTGATCAGGCTGAGATTTCCTTGGTGTGGTCCTAAATGTTCCAGTGTTTCCACAAGTCTGATGATGTTCTAACACTGTGCAAGCAACTAGTAATCCACCGTGACAGGCTGCTATTTCACGGCAGTCCGTGGATGCGTAAGTGCTCTTTGGTATTAGGGGCTGAAGAGATGAAGCGCGCAAGGGTTAGAATTATAGGAGGGTGCCTTTCTTTGGTTGTTTCCTGATTCCAAAGTGTTTTCTACATGCTCCCAATAAATTTAATTAACTAACAAACACCTCAGCTGCACTTACTCTGGAGACCTGCACAGAATGAGCACCCTTCAGCATGCCCAAGCACAGAGACTCAACCCCACTGCTCAGTTCTGAGACTAAAGATCATTTTAAGATGTTGCCATCTGAACTCATTTAGGTAATAATTAGTGCAGCTGCTGGCATTTGACGAGGCAATGAATAATCAGTCCAACGGCATCTTATCTCATGTCCTGCTCAATAAAGTTCTTGCTGCTACCTTTGTCCGTGGTCATCTGAGGAACTGTACAGCAGGAAGCACCTACTTCTAGGAACACATCTCTCCTTTGCTAGGAAAAATGGACTTGGCCTGCCCCAGGCGTGCAGTCACACAGGACAAGCACGTACTTTGGGTGCTGTGAGCAACTGCAAAACCAGGCTCAGTAGCCTGAGAAGCGTGAGTACCCAGTGAAATTGGTTGTTTGACATCTCTTTGTTCATTGTTGGAACACAGCCTAAAATTCCCAAGAAATAAAAACTATCTTCTTATGTTACTATCATTGAATAACAATGATCCCAAGCATATACATTTTTTTATATGTGCACACACACATATATGTGTATGTAGTCAAGTCATTAGATATCATTATCCCTTTTGTCATCTTGGGAAACTAAGGCCCAGGGAGGTGAAGGGCCTTCACAGAAGGAGTACATGCCCTTCATCTCCATGTACCTACTTTTGTATATGGATCTTTCACTAAAAAGTCTGTTCTGATCAGACAGAAATACAGCGTTGTCCAACAACGGTTCAGTCAGGCTGGAGGGCCATCTGGCCTAGCATTCAGCCTTTAGCTCTATAGCAAGAGCTGAATGGGCACAGGCGGCTCAATAGTAAAGAGTACCCTGGTCTGGAGTTACCGAAATAACCTACTTGGAGGGGAAGCTTTCCCTAACCCTTCAGTCAGAGGTTAAACCTCTTCCTGATAGCAGAGGATTTATCTCCCTTCCAAACTAAGCAATCTAAGCACTTCAAAAGAAGTGACTCTTAATCTCTCCTTTTGCAAGCGTTGCGCCAGGTTCGACCAATAAAGCTTTTACCTGTGAGATCTAATGAGTCTGTTTTAAACTTAAAGCTTTACTCTGCAAAATGAGTGTCTTCATCTCCGTTGATTTTAGCACACTGGTTTCAGCATATGCAGAAGGAGTTCAGCTCCTTGCAGAATTAAGCCCATTTGTTTTAAGTTCTTTGGCGGGGACTGCAAAGCGGGGAAGTCAAAATTAACACCAATAATAACAAGCTATTCTATGATAAAGTGTCAGGTTTGTGTTTTCTTGTAGTGCAGATCATCAAGACTCCAGTTACCTCCATCAGTTTTTCACCTTTGATATGTACATTATTCTTAAAACTCTGAACTAAGAATAAGGGAAATCTTCCTGGCGTTGTTCTGTCTCATTTTGGCTATAGAAATGCACATGCTGTCTGATGCACAGCAGATGGACTCACTGCATTTCACTGCCTCCATGTCTGATTAAAGCTGAAGGTGAAAAGGTAACTGAGGGGTATTACTAAAAGGAACTCCATCTGAGCAATGCAATTCTGGAGTGGCTGTGTTTGGGGTTAAAACTTTGAGTCTGTTCTGATTTCTTCTTCAGGTAACTGTACTTAGCTTATTGCTTCTCTTGTCAGCATATGCAAGTTACCTGTTTTGCTAGAAAAGCCGTGCAGCAAAACTAGAAAGAGCCAACTGTGATTATATTTAGATTTGAAGCCACCCAAGAAGCTACAGTGGTTTGAAACCATACACCCAAAAAAGTTGGCATTTCACAGTGGTGTTCCTGCTACGGTTCACTACTGCGTGGCTGAATGGCAGCTTCAGCTACCTCGCGGTACTGATAACGGGGACAGAGCAGAAGGAAAAAAGGGTTCTCGGCTGTGCAGCACGCAGTTGTGAGGCAGTGGTTCTGAACGGCCTTTCTGCTCCTCCTGGCCCAGCCAGAAGCTTGAGACTCTCCTGTAACGTGGAGGTGCCTTCAGTCAAAGGGGCAGGCGTGCATCTTGAAGGCACTGTCACATGGACTCATTGGGAGCCTCTGGGGAAAGGGAGGAGATCCCCTCTTCACAAGCTTGGACAAATACAAATGATTTGACTATACCCGCTAGGGAAAATGCTAGGGTAGCCCTAAAGTACTAGCGTGCCATTCCAGACCAGGCAGCTTTGTTCCTGGAGAAGGTATAGATTATCTCAGAGTAAAGCAAAAGGAAGGGAGGTGCAGTACCTTCTCACTGACTTGACAAGCAACTGAATTGCCCTCTACCCCTTTGAATGTATTGCCCTGGGGTTGCTAAACTCAAGCAACCCCATGACATTACTGTGTACTTTTAAAAACAGTTATTGCAGACTCAGCATGTTCAGCAACCGCAGCAAACAGCTTGGAAATACCTTCTGGGCCTGGCGGGACACTGATGGGAGCACGCTTCCCATGGATGGCTCCTGGGGCATGGCACACAGATTACTCTCAAAGGTCATTTTAAATAACTGTACTTACCTTGTAATTTACAACACCGGAATTGGCCCCATGACCAGTTGTGTTAGGCATTTTGCAAAGCTACTTCATGTTTTGCAGACAGATGGATATATCTTTACTTTCTTATTTCTCTGCTCTGTAGAACAAATTGCAACCCAAGCATACAACTTCTCTCTGTTGTGCCGAGGAGCAGGAACACGTGCAGCCCGGGTTTACACAATCACATTTTTCTTTACAGATGGACTAGGAGTGCCTACAAGGATTGTCCAATGACGGCAGCTCGTTAGGCCACGGTAGCTCCTTCTCTCTCAGATGTCAGATGTTGAAGGATGCACAGGCAGCCTTAACTCTGACCCTTACCCACACACATTCCCATACTCTTCAGTTACCTTGGTAGCATCTGTAATAAGCAGTTCTTGCCTATTCTACACACCTTTTCTATTTTTTAAGCAGTCTGATATTAAACAGTTTTTTCCTACTCGTGTTGATACATACATGTTATCAACATCATGTTGATACATGATACATACCCCTCTACAGATGCCTCCTTCCTGACTTCACTCTGGAAACTGAAGTCCCGGTTGTAGCGCATTCAGCATGACAGACCCAGCAACCTGCCTCTATGTCAAAATCAGGGCATCTGTAAGAGTTTGCAGTACTGGAAAAGAACAAACCAACCCCGCGTTCGTGCTTTCAGTCCCCTAACGCATAGCAGCTTCTCTCTAGAACAACAGAGGGCACCGCTCTTCACACAAAAAGCTGCAGCTGGAAGAGGAGCAGCCCTGCATTTGAATAATAGTTTGGTAACTAGAACATTTCTTTCTCTGTATGTGATTGGGATTGAATATTCTTCCTCCAAGGAGGTTCACCTCTGCATCTCCCGCTCCCTGTGGGAAGGCCCTGGCCAAAAGCTGTTCTCAGAGATGTGTGTGCTGTTTCTTTTGTGGATCTTGTCCTAGTTTGCACAGAATAATTAGGCAGTCACTTACTGGGAAATACCTTTAGCCTATTGATTAGGGTCTTCACTTGGGGGAAGAGGAAACCAGAGTGCCAGTTCCTACCCCAGCTCCTGTGAAGGTTTTTGGTTTTTTTTCCAGTGGGTCTGTAATGTAAAATGCATAAACATGCTGTAAAGCAGGGCTGGAATCTAGGTTTCCCCTCTCAGATGACTGCGTTATCTTCCGATTGTTCTGTGCTGTCCAACAGGTGCCTCCAGCTCCAGCCTCCCCTGCCACCTGGTGAGTGCTGCCACCACCAACAGTTTTGAAATAAAGATAGCAAATCTAGTTTAGCTGTTGAAAAACACACTGATTTATGCATCTACCTCTGTGAAAGGCTTTCAGGCCAAGATCCGAGTAGAAGGCAGTGAAATCATCCGAGGCCCAGAGCGGGCAGGGGGTACAGATGTGTCCTATTAACTAGTTTGTATGGCTCTCTTCTGGTCCCACCAGCTGTGGTGAATTCATGTCCCAGGCAGCTGTCCGCAGGGTGGCTGTGGCTCTCACGCAGAACCCCATGGCTCTTGTGTCCAGACTGTGTCATGTGAGCAGCAGCAGGGTTATGCTACGGCCAGGACCGATGACTGCTCTGGGCCCCTTGGCTGCAGTAGGAAACAAACAAGCAAGAGCTGCTGCGGCTGGTATCAATGCCTTTCCCTGGCCCAAGGAGGAGGGTCCACAGGATGCCATTCACGGTCCTCCCACCTTGGGCTTTCCGAGGTATGTCTCAGAAGCACATGTACGTGGGGGGACTGGGTACATGACAGGCAGGGTAAGGGAGGACTGGCAGCTCCTAAATAAATAAAAAGTTCAGGTATATAAAACGTGTAGCAGATTCTGCTTGGGGGTTAAGCCCTCCTGGTGCTGAAGTCCTTTTGTGAAGCTACGAAAAGGCTGGGGCATTTGAAAGCTAGTCTGGTTTTCCAGCGGTATCAGCTGTGCTAAGAAAAGGTCTTGCCTTCCCCTACAGACCATGCTTCGCTTATATCCATAGACCTTCACAGTAACAACATTACTATTTAAGAAGAATCAAAGTGAAAAAACAGCCTCTACTAAGGAGTTCCCCTATCATGGTTTATTAGCCCTCCAGCTGATGCCTTCAAGGGCTACAAACCTCTCGGTCTTTGTTATTTTCTGTACAAGAAAGCAGAATTGGTCCATACCTGCATAATATTGCATTCTGTTTGCTCAAAATGCATTGAGCAAACCTCTTGAATGCCAGGGCTCCAGATCCAACTTGTTTTAAACCTTGAATGCTGCCCCCAGGCAGTGCTAAAACTTACCATCTCCCCTAATCTGCAGTGACATTGCTGGCGTTATTAGCTCTACAGACACAGTCCAAAGGCCACGAGTGCCACTTCACCGCACGTACATGGTACGCTCAGGGGGTGCTTGAAGGGACAAAGGCAAATTCAGTTTCCTCGTAGCCCCGCCAAGCCACGAAGCCCACACGGGGCTGCCAACACCCGATTGATCCCTGTAACGGGTTTGCCAGCCCGGCCAGGGGTTCCGAGTGAAGCTGTACCCGCCCCGGGTGAGCCCTGAACCCGCGGACGTTTGTCCCGCGGCGGCGCTTTCCCGGCTGCGTGCACCGGCAGCCGCCCCCGTTCGCCCCGGGCGGGCGGAGGCCGGCGGGG